AAAGTGTAGAAAATTATCGAGTTTGGATGCCAATATGGTACAGTCGGTTGTGCTGAACCTTACACTGTTAGTCAAGCTGTGCATGCAAGAAAATTTTGAACTATCAATGGCCATACAAGGTCATGTCGGTCAGAAACCAATGACTCAAGATGAAGGTCTAGGATAAATACGTAAGACCATCTAGAAATTAATGGTCGTTATTAAGCTCTTGTTTGGCCTTATTGAAATTATAATTCATTTTTCTTTATCTTCTTATCAATCACACATTCTTCTTTTTTAACCACACATTTTTTTAAAAAAGAAAATATTATTCTAACCATTAAAATTTCAAATAATGAGGACTAATTAACGTACATTCATGATAATTGTGAAAGTNTTCTTTTTCAACCACACAAATATTATTCTAACCATAAATAATTCAAATTTTGAGGACTAATTAATTTACATTCATGATAATTGTGAAAGTTCACGTGTCAAAATAGTCATACCTAAACTTACAAAATACATAACGTGTAACATGATATTTGTGAAACTTCGCATGTCAAAATACTCAAACCTAAATTTACAAAATATTTAGATTAACTAATCATAATTGAATGTACGTTGCATGTTATTCTGAATTGCTTTATAAGTACTATGAAAGTAATATTTGAAAATGTATGAATATAAAAAATAGTTAATACAAATTATTTATGTGGAATGAATTTTTTATTCAATGTAAATCTTTGTATACAATTTTTTTTGTGTGATTAAGAGTATCTGACTTCACTAGAATGTTTGTAGTTGTCATAGAAATTCATCTTGAAAGTGCAACATATAACTATCTATGCGGGAATATATGTTGTAAAATATATTCTGACATGAGATATTGTTTGTCATTGAGCTCCTTCAAAATCAGCTATATCTATGGTTCCTAATTCTTATGTAACTTCTCATTTTTTGTGTCATCTCATCAAAAAAAGAATACAAGAAAAAACTATTGAACAAAAAGATCCAAAACCACAATAAAAAAGAAGGATTGAAGCAATTAAATCTAAAAATAAGACAATCAAGATTATAGAGCAAGAAGCAAAATCAAGATCAAGAACCAAGAGAGCCAATAATCCAAATTCAAGATTCGGAATCAAGATCCAATAATAAGGAATTATTTCCAAAAAAATTAAGGTATGTTCCGCATTATTTATTTTTTGATGATTTTACACTGATGATCTTGACAATTAAGCAATTAGGGGTTTCTAGTTTTATAAAGTTTAAAGTTTCATAAAATTTCAACAAGTGGTATTAGAGCCAACTCCATGTTAAACTATTGAGATTCAATAAATAATTTTTAAGGTTAAAATTCATACTTTGAATTTTTCGATTTTGGGACGTGAACTTTAACCGTAAATTTTAAAATTTTTGATTTTGGGACTTAATTGTTGAATTTGTGTATGGTTATAATTGATTATTGTTATTTTGAATTAAGTTCTACACAAAAAAGACTTATGGTTGCAACTTTGTCCGTGTGAACGATTAAGCACGTGCGTTAAAAAAAGAAAAAAAAAATCATTCTTGAGTAGGATACTTGTCATATCATTACTAGATATTTGGAATATATGCTAGACAATCCTTTACATTCATATTTATGGAGAAATTATTGAAAATATCCAAA